ACAAAGTAAGTGTGTAAATCTAACATTTATAAATTTAACATTTGGGTTCATCTTCAAATGTCCGCAATAGGGATCTGGTATGCTTTGCTGAAACACAAGTTTTTAACCATGTTTCCTGCTAAAATAGCATAAGGGAAAAATTATTTAGCTCCAATTGTACCTAGCTAATGGCCTAGCATCAGAAACTTCAAGCAGTCTTATTGCTTTCCCCAGGTGACACATACTCTAACATAAAACAAGCATAAAAAAATCATTTTGTTTAAAACAGCAACAACAATGTTGGTATGGAGGCTGAAAAGAAGAGGAAATAGGGGTTAGTATATAATTTCCATCCCAAACTGAAGATTCTGATAAATTACAAAATGTACTGAAAAAATCTGAAAGTTGTTTAGACCTAAAAGGTGAGTAAGTTCATTATATGTTACATATGAAAGGTAAAAGCAATTCTTCAGTTCCAGTCACACCAAGAACAAAAACAAGACTGGAAACAATTTACGTAGAAAATCTCATAAAGTAGTGATATTCACAAATCTGATGATTTTCAAAAACTCTAGAAATAGGTTTTCATTGAATATCATATTCCAATGGATAGTATCTCATTTATGAATTAAATTCCTTTTAAAATAGTCTCATCTTATATAAGCAAATTTACTTTTGAAGCTCTCCTTTCCTGAAATATTACTCATCCACATTATCTTAAGCTACTAACTCAACTTTATACAATGCATAACTTCTAAGTCTTACCACGTACCATGGGCCTGAACTTCATTCCCCCTAAATTTGCATGTTGCAACCCTAATCTCGGACTGTGACTATGTTTGGAGACACGGGCTTTAAAAAGATGATTAAATTTAAGCCACAGCTTTTGGTGAGGGTCGATATTAATCTCACTGGTGTCCTTATAAGGGGAAATCTGGACACACAGACAACACACAGAGAAAGGGGCAGACACAGCAAGGAGACAGTCGGTCATCTCTCAGGCAAGGCGAGAAGCCTTAAGGAGAAACTGTCACCATCCGGATCTGGGACTTCTGGCTTCCAGAAATATAAGAAATTAAATTTCTGTTGTGTGCGTCACACTGTCTGTGGTATTTTGTTATGTTAGCCCTAGCAAACTAATACAGTATGGAAAAAGGATGCTATCCATTACAAAAACTATTCTAGAAACTTTAGAATATTAAGAAAAAACTAAACATCATAGTGATACAGAAAATCTAGATTAGCAAAACAAATTCCTTTTAAGGTTATCTGTCTGGAACAGAAAGTTTTCTCAAATACTGTATTGTTATGCTAAAATAAAAGTACAGGGAAAATCGATACATTTTATACTCTATATAAACTTATCAAAATATCATAAAAATACTTTTTTAAAAAGTTTACCAAAAAAATTCATAAAAATTAAAGCAGCCTGGGGGCTGGGGATTTAGCTCAGTGGCACCGCACCTGCCTCACAAGCACAAGGACCTGAATTTGATCCCCGGTACCAAAAAAAAAAAATTAATTAAAGCACCCTGTAAAGCCAATGTTTACAAAGAACACAAACATATGTATAAATCACTTTAGTATATGTGCTGCCAAAGCAAGCACTAATCACAGTTATTTTAAACTCAAAGACTTTATTCTTTTAAACACACTGAGCCATAAAGCGATTTCTGAGCAAAAAAAAAGGTTTTTCATGTGGCTAGTTGACCTAACTGACAAAGAGCCAACCCCAGCTCATAACCCTTCCCACACCTAACACGTCCTCCTTCATTGTCTTTTGTTCTCAGGAAGTGTCTGCATCCAGTGTATTTTCTATCAAATCATATAAACTAAATTTAACTTCCTCAACCCAATGAACTGATGATAAATGCCTTGTTTCTGTATCCCCACCCTTCTTCCCTTGACCCATATAAACCCTATTCACTGCCAGCTCCAGGATGATCACTTTGTGGAGAAATCCCGATGACTCCACCGGCATAGTAAAGCTGTACACTTGCCTCAAACCTCTGAGCGTGTTCTTGATTCTTCTTGGCCTGATCTTGCTATACCACTAAGAGCTGCCACACTGTGGGGACTGTAAGTCTGCCATTACAATATCAGGGTTAGATCCCTAATACACTATTAGAAAATTTTAAAAAGCACACTTGAAATCCTATATTAAGAAAAATTCAAAATGTGTTAATATTTAAGTATGTAACTCAGTTATGTACAGATACTTAATATTATCACTTATACCACCATGTATATTAATTTAGCCCAATTTTATCTACCCTTATCTACATTAATTTTATCTGCACTTAATCCATCCAATAAAACAGAAATGTAAACTATTAGAATATATATATTCCTAGAGGCAAAGACTTAGACTGCCTTATTCACTGTTATTTTTTTAATCACTGAGAAGAATGTCAGACACACATGAAAATCTCAATTAAGTATTTATTGAATAAATGAATGGGCAATTCAGGGTGTTTCTAAAAGCGTATGACATTGGCCAACATTTTCTTTTAATGCTGTAAGTCCCTATAAAATATTAAATTAGATTGTAAACACAGTATTAAAGAAAATAAATGATAGTACATATATTTAGACTGAGAGAAACAGCATATCTTACAAAGCTAAATAAACAAAATGAAACTTGTTTCAAAAGTCTTTTTACACAGGGCCGGGGATTTAGCTCAGTGGTTCTGCCACCTGCCTTGTAAGTACAAGGACCCAAGTTCGATCCCCAGTACAAAAAAAAAATCTTTTTACCTATAAAGTCAACAATTATTCCTGTCAACAGGGTGCACTGTTACCTACAGGTGAATTACTAGTAACTAAATTTTTCTTCTGCCATTTTATAGAGGATTTAAATTTTAAAAATACAGATAAGGAAGAACTAAAAGTTAAACAGCCAATCTTATTTACAGATGTTAAGTATTATGGGAAAAGCTAATTTTCACCTAAAATCTTAGTTTTAAATTCTTAAGTTCTGTGATCAACACTTAACTAATCATAACTACTATGACTTTAAAAAAAGAAACATTAAGCCAAAACGCCCTGTTCACCTACACTGAGCCATCCGAAAAATTGTACTATATCAATTTCATTTCATTTTTGGTGCTATGTTGAAAAGGAAAATGTGTCTATGGACTGTCCTAACAGTTTTTTAAAATAGTGTATTCTTTACTTGCACTGGTTAACACGTGAATATAATATTTACATCTTGCCTAGAATATTTTCAATTAGGCAATGGCATTCCTCTTTGTAGAATGAAAATTATAACTATTTGCACAATGAAAATTTCACATTCAACAAATTACCACTAGTTTGTACTAAATAAGACTATTCTTAGCACCTGAAGTTATTCTGAATAATCCTCATATTTGGTAAAAGCAGAGGGGTAGGAAGAAAGATGTATGAGCTATATGCCTTTAAAACAATTATCAAACAGGTAGTATCTGAAAGATTAAAGCAATTATTTCTTCAATATGGGTCAGAAAATTATTTCACCTCTATAAATAAATTTAATCTGAAAATAAAGATCTATTCAACAAAAGAACAGACATATCAAGTTATTCATTTAGTTAGGAATATAATTCAAAATAGTCTCATTACTACAGAATTCAGAAGTCAATACTAACCTTTTAAAATCACATTGAAGCCATTAATATTTTATTTCACTTCAGCCACAAATATTTTAATGAGATTACCATGGTATCAACCATACCTTTTCCACCATCTTAACTAAAAAAGATACTTTCTGGGCCGGGGATTTAGCTCAGTGGTTCCACTGCCTGCCTCGCAAGTGCAAGGACCCGAGTTCTATCCCCAGTACCAAAAAAAAAAAAAAAGATACTTTCTGATTTCTAGAGCAGTACAATATCATGTCAAAGCTTCAGCTCACTCAATCAGGTTTTATCTTTATTATTTTTACTGGCTTAATATTACCTCTATATCTAAAACCCTTGAGTGAATGAGAATTTCAAGAGTTAAAATAAATTCCATTGATCATCTATTTACTTTTTTTAAGCTTAGAAGATAAAATATGTAATCAAAATTAAGAAAGGAAAATAGTTTGTCTTTGTTTTCCTTAAGAGTCCTTATAGTTACTCCTACAAAATAAGATTTATATTTAATAAGAATTAAAAACATTATTTGGTTAATGTCAAATTTATTTTGTGATTCACAGTAACTTAAGCAAAGGATCTAGGATTTAACTATTACACTGTTGGATGGACTTATTTAAAATAACTATAGTTCTGAATTATGCCTGCAACAACAAAAGCATGAAATGTCCTCCAGCAACCCCCATCCCTACTCCAAACCAAATGCCTCTACAAAGCACAATACACACACACACATAAATATTAAAATCAGAAATATATGTTCATTTTAATTTTCCAACGTATAACACTGGTATTTTGCCACCAGTCCACAATGGGTAAGACTGGTTAAGGGTCTCAAAATAGATTCATTAGTTAATTGCTCAAAATCATTCTAACATTCACGCTAATTATATAAAAAAAATTCTTACCTTATTTTCTTTCATTAGTTTTGGTCAATATCTGAAGATCCATAGAAAAATTTACAATCAAAATTTAATCAAAAAACAATATAAAGTAAACAGCCTTAAAAATTTCATTACCTGTTCAGTAATTCTCATGTGGAAGTCATGGAAGTCACTATAACGACGATAGGTTTTCCACATCTCTTCAGTGTTCAGATTGCGCCGGTGGACGGTGATGGCATATAATGCATATGTCTTGCCATGATCATTACAAACGCCTGCCACAGCATATGGGTCACAGTCAGCATATACTTGTTATTTAAAACAAAATGAAGAGAAACAAAAGACAAAAAGGGAGGAAGGTGAAGAACAAAAGAAAAAAAAATAACATGAAATGAAGAACTTAAAATGAAAGAATGAGATGAAAGGATGTCACCAAGGGATAAAACAGATTCCTTCCTAACCTTTGTACTAACTATAGATAGATAGATAGATAGACAGATAGATAGATAGATAGATAGATAGATAGATTATAGAATAAAATAAGTGAAAAGTTTATGACGACACTACCAACCACAAAATGATGTTTATTTTGGGTTTTCTTCCCCCAAACTTTTACCCATTATTAATGATATTACCATGGCACCTCAGGGTATTATAACATTAGGGTCTCTTAAATTTTATAGAGGAGAAACAAAATAATAACTTTTTGCACTAGCTTTCACTATTTCAACTAAACAGCAAAAGCCACAGGATAAGATTTATCTCCAGGCAATTCTTTTCTTCTTTGATAACATTTGGCAATTCGTAAGTATAATTTATTCTGGGCATTTAAGAACAATAAGAGAATAATTTCTTACTGATTTAATAAATATCACATGAGCCAGGTAGTCTTTAAAAATTAAAATTTATTCCCATTTTCTACTAATCTTAGCTATACTTTGCATCATGTTCTTTCTGACTCTCCAGTTTGTGTTCTATTTTACCCTAGGTCTCAAAAATTTTACTGTTTTCCTCTCAGCTGTGTCTGATCTATTTCTTAATCCATACAATGATCTTAATTTCAATCACTGCATTTTTTTTAATCTTTGGAATTTTTTTGGTTCTTTCTTCATACTATTTATTCTTGTCTTAGGATGTCTCTGAATATTTTAATCATACTCATTTTATGTTCTGTAAAGACTGCCATCTCCAAGTTCTTTGGACACTATATATCTCATTTGCTGCTTCTGACGACTCTCCTCATTGTGGCTCACATTTCTTCCTGTGTCTTTAAATTGTTTTCTATAAATTCATTTTCAACAGGCAGTGTTTGTTGATGGGCAGTATGAATGCCCTAGGCTATGGAAGCATTTACAATGCCCAGTATTGCCACAGTAACTATGGTTTCTGTGGTTCAGAAACTTATAGTTGGCCCTCTAAATCTGGGCATTCTACATTGTAAGATTCAATTTATCATGCATAGAAAGGGTTTTTAACAATGTATTCATACTGAATATGAACAGACTTTTTTCCTTGTCATTACTGTCTAGTCAATATAGTATAACTATTTCTGTAGCATTTACATTGTATCAGGTATAATAAATAGAGACAATTTAAAATATTTGGGAAGATATGCATAGGCCTTATGCAAATACTATACCACTTTATATAGGGCACATGAGCACCTGTTCCTTATGGAAAGGATACATGATTTTGGTATCCATGGAGGTCCTGGAATCAACACTCCACAGATACTGAGAGACAACTACTAACTCTCTGGTTTCGGACCCTAGATACACATCACTTGAAGACTTCTACACCCAGACATATCGATGGTGGGAAAAAAACTGGGCTTTAATTTCTTGTGGGTGACAGATACTATTTCCTATCACGATCTTGATATTTCCAGCTCTCTCCCCTTAAAACTTAAAGATAAGTTGAGCTTTTCTAGTACCTCTTTCACATCATGCTGCTTTTACAGCTCTGGGCTTTATGTAAAGGACTTGCTTTCCAGCTTCACAGGGCACTGGCTCATCCTACCTGTTTTAAACTTGAAAGCATAAAAATGCTATCAAAATTAAGACAGTGGTTTTCATGTTCCTTTATAGTTCTACAAGCCCCTTGTCTTAATGCCTCTTCACTTCTCAGAATGTGTTTTTCCTCATGATCTATGGCACCTTAGATTTCCCTGCTTTAGCTAACGTATTGTTCCCAGCCTTTCTGCATGTACAAAACAGGATTTTCCATAGCAGTTTAGACTACCATATTAATAAATCTAAAATTGATCCAATAGTGGATCACACTGATCCATAATCAAGAAAAAAAATAGTCAAGTTTTGGAACTGACTAAATATAGTATTTTGCTAATTTGTAAATAATCAGGCAAAGAAGGTTCTATATATCTTAACAAATTATTTTAATAACATAAGCTAGATGTTTATATTAACAAGAGGTGATGGACAAGCTTTCATCAAAATATTTCTATGATTTGCACTTTCTATTCAAAATTGTCCTTCATTCCCTTTTCATCTAATATCAGTGTTTCTGATTAACCGCCCCCCCCCCCAAAAAACCCTACAAATAGACTTTGGTTATCTTCTTCTACAAAAGAGGCTTTAACTGTATTCACTGTTCACCTCCCCAAATCAACTTTCTCTCAGAGATCTGTCCAAATCAAACAATACAGCACTTTTTTTTCATTAAGTCAGAGTCACCATTTCTAAACAGAGCTGGCATGGCAACAAAGGAATGGCTTTAATCAGTTGTGTACAAGACAGATTTGGAAAAAGCAAACAGAAAGGAGAGGCCAATTAGATAGCTAACCATAACCATTACAAGATAACAAGAGCAAGGAAAACAGCAAGGGTTACAAAAGGAGAAAGAGCAATGTAAGGAGGCATTCTAAAAGAGAGAATGAGGATTTGTCACAAACTGCTAGGCAGGGGAGATTACTCGGGTATACATACACAACAGGAAGAGTAATGAGGCTGCTATTTTTTTAAAAAAGGAGAAGACAGAAAAGTAACTTGATTTCAAAAGAAGAGAATGAGGCTACCTATATTGATTTTGAGAAGATAGTGATAAAACAAGAAGGATTTTTTTCATTAGAGCAATACTATTTAAGGCAGGTAGTCTACAAATCACTTCTTATTAATCCCTAATAAGTTAAGGATCTATCATCACAATGCTAATAACTTCCTTAATCACACTGCTTAATTTAACCAGTTTTTAAAAAGATTTCTCAATGAAGGAAGCAAGTAGACTCTAGAGTTCATGGAGCACTCTAAGTAGCACTGCACTGGACTGTAAATCTTTACATCTACAACAGATGTATTAAGGACACTGGGATCAAGACTCTGGTGTCCAACTAGAAAAATAAGTATTTATGAACGAACATTCATATGATGCCTATCATGTTTAATGACTAATGTAATTTGTCCCATAACCACCCTATAAGTTAGGTATTATTATTATTCCATTTAACAGATGAAGAAAGTGCAAATAGAGAACAAACTCCACTCAACTATTAAGGAGAAGAGCCAAGATTTGAACTCCAGCAATTCACTGAAAAAGTTGTGCTCTGAACCACAATACTATGCTTCCTCTTCAGTATCAATATCCGTCTGACAATATGTTATTAAAAATTCCTAGTATAATACTCTCCATCCACTTTAAAAAGCTTGTAAAGACTTGCTAAATGAATGAACAAAAAGTCAAAGGAGCTGGAAAAAGAGAAATATTGGAAAAGAGAAATATTAACAACAGAAGTAGATATTGCATGTCTTTTTTTAGACATATAAATTTAAGATCACCAAAAAATAAAAAGACAAATACTAAACATTTGCACTTTAACAAAAACTCTCATAATCTGAAGATGAGCCAACAAAGAAGAGATTTTAAAAAGAATCTTAAGAAACGTCGGAAGGAAAAAGTGGGACAACTATCAAAAGTGTAACAAAGTTTTACAAGAAGATTCTGCTTTAATTGGCAATATCTCAGGACATGTAACAGCAATCTACGTACCAACTATACGCAAAAGATAAAGGAACAACTGAGTCAGCAAGTATGAAAAACTATTCCATAAATCTGGCAGGGAAGAAAATGCAAAGTGAGACTCTAGCTCCAGTGAGAAGCAAAATAAAACAAAGATCTTCATAAAATGCAAATTAGTATTTTTAAACTCACTTACACTATGGAATCTTTTTCAGTGTCTAAAATGTAAGAATGACACTGAATTGAGGTATGTACCTCAGTATGTTTGAACTTCAGTATGAGACATGAAAAAACACATTCTAGGAATAGTGAGGTAAGAAAACTATCATTATCTAATACTCATCACTATCTAATACTCAGCATTATCTAATAATGCAACAGTGATGAAAGAAATTAATTTTTTTCCTGGGTACACTAACAATTCTGTATATGTTGGCTGATCATGACATCCTACAGATTTCTCAGCCCATTCAAGCATATTCCGAACTTCTACCAACTTATGGACAGCAAGGCTTCACTTACTCCATTATCTAGTCTGGCTCTGCATGTATGAAAGCAAAAATTGAACAGAGATCCCCCCAGTAAAGAAGATCTCCCCAAATAAGAGTTAAGCAAACAATTAACAGTGAGACTCAAGTACAAAGAGGAAAAGATTGGTTCCAGAATTGTTAGAGCTTTTTCAAATGTTAACAATGACAACTTCAGAGAAAAGAAAACACCCAAATACATATGTAAATAAAACATCACAGGATTTAATGAAGAACATGCTGCAGGGGAAAAAAATGACCAGAAAACAGAAAAAAAAAATGTAAAATTAAATGTAGAAAATAACTTAAGAATGAAATAAACAACACTTTAAAAGTAGTAGTTACAGTATGAAGTCTGTTACCGGTATCTGAAATGTAAGCATGAAGTTGCACTGAGTCATCAGAAGTTACACTTGAAAGGTCATCTAAAGACTGGAAAAAAATTTAAAAAGAATTTTTAAACTTTACAGGAAAAACTGTTAAAATTCTAAATCTATATTGCTCGCATTTTCTGCATGTGTACTTTATGTTATTTGTATTCACACACTTAATAATATTCTTCTCCATTTACACTGAAATTTTGAAAAGCCAAGATTAAGAAACTATAAAACACTTTGGTAATCAATAATTACATGATTTATTTTTCACTGCTTGTCCATATATTGCAAATTGCTATTTTTCAATTATATTTGATATATGGCAAGAAAATAAAAATTGGACAATAAGCAGATATATCAACATTTTAATTTTTTATGTGTTGAAATATACTATAGCCAGGCTTGCACTAACAATTTTGTCAATTTATAAGTTATTTTATCAGTTAAATAATTTAATCAGATTCTTTAGCTCTAAAATAAGAATATGAGAAGATATGTAGAATATTTAAGAAGACTACCAAGAATAGCAAATGTTAACTATAATTATGATTACTCATTAAATTAAATGAATGTAGACTAAGACTTTTATATGGGAAATTATTTTTTAAAATGGCAATTTAAAATTTTGATTTAATTAATTTCCAAAAATAATTCCATAAATATTATTATTAAATGATACAAAATTAATCTTGTCAAAGTTTAAAGGCATTTTACTACATGTAAATACGCCCACACATACAAAGTGAACAATCACATAATGAAGGCAGACTGGGCAGAAAGAGAACTAGCAGGGCTGCCTGAAACTCTTCTTAAAAAAATCTGCTCACAAGGTTAGATGGCACCTGGCAAGTTAAGATTTAGTGAAGGTTCCTACCATTATCTAACTAATATTAGGCTTGCTGTACCTAAAACGGTCTTTACAAACAATGTGGTTTGTGCTGAAAACCTGCCTTCCTTCTGGGTCTGGGATGCCACATGTAGTAGACAGAGCATGCACTACGTATGTCATCTGCCTCTAATAAAAACCTGTGTACTGTTTCTGATGAGTTTTCTTGGTGGCAACATGTACATCACAGCTCACTGCTTGGGAAATTAAGAATACTTTGTTTGACTCCCCTTGAGAGAATTTTTGGAAGTTTGTATCTAGCTTCCTCTGGACTTTCACCACGCCCCCTCTTTCCCTTTGTTGACTCTGCTTTATATGCTTTCAGTGTAATAAACTCTAGATAGGAGTATGACTGTGCTGAGTCAGTCCTATGCATCTTAGACATATTTCATATTTTAAAAACCATAGGACCTGAATGAGTCTTTTTGACCAATTGTTACCAATTATTATTAAGAGAGTCATTTAAATACTTACATCAGCCATTTATAGGACATAAAGTCATTTCAAGCAACTGTAGACTATGAAGAAAACCGAAAGTGTTTCTACTCAAGACTGATCATCAAGAGAAGCAAACTGTGATAATTCTACATATAGATGCTACACAGGACTTCCCTGGTCAAGTGGCAGAACCATTAAATTAAATTAAATTAAATTAAATTAAATTAAATTAAATTAAATTAAATTAAATTAGGTCTACTCCAAGTTCCACTACTGATACTTTAAGAGATTTCATCCATATCAACTATTATTTCTTATATTTCAGCCTTCACAGTGGTAAAATTTTGTTAACACCTGCTCTACATCTTTGTCAAAATAAACTATAAATGAAAATATTTTTTTTTTAAATTAAATGCACTTATTTTTATGTACTCATGTGGCCCTTAATAAAACATTTTAATAGAAACAGCAAAATCTTTAGTATTATTTTTTACATGCAAGATAGAACCCATGAGGAAATGGACTGACTACTTTGCCACTATTTGGCCTGTGGAAAGCTATCTACCAAACTTCCTTCAATTATAAGCTAGCACAGGAAACATAAATCAAGTTTTTTGTTTTGTTTTGTTTTGTTTTTTGGTACCGGGGATCGAACTTGGGTCCTTGCACTTGAGAGGCAGGCGGTGGAACCACTGAGCTAAATCCCCAGCTCAAGTGTTTTTTTAAAAAGCATTATTAATAATGATAACCTTCCCTTGTAGGTGATATTTTAAAAGCTAAATACACATATTTGTAACTTTAAACATTTTAGTATCTCATACTATACAACACCTAGGTGTTCATTTATATTTTATCCTAACTTTGGAGATAAATGTCTTTTTCAGCATATTTAAAATAAACATTAAGTACTATTTTTGTTACACATGATAAAAAATCTAATAAAAAACATGTTACAATTACACTTACAAGTAAATAACAAAAGACTATAAAATTACAACTGGTAAAATATTACCTAGAGAATTATATCTGCTTTAGAAATACAAGTATTAACTGATTTTTTAAAAGTTGTGCTTTTAAAAAAGCACATTTAGTGTTGTCCTGAAAAAAAGACAATGTATAAAATAATCCTTCAGTTAAGATTCTTAAACTTATTGTAAGAAAAAAAAATACTTTTAACATTATATTAAAGCAAAAACTAAAATTATATATTTTTCTTTTTGAGATGAGGTTCTGTCATATTGTCCAAGCTGGCCCTGAACTCTACTCAAGCATTTCCCATCTAGTTTCCTGAGTAGCTAGGACTATGGCTACACACCACTGTGCCCAGCTGAAACTATAAATTTTTTGTGATGGCCCAACAAACACAATTTTAACAGTACTGCTAGATATGCTAGAAATATTTTACCTGCCTATCTCAACTGCACAATAAATAAAACACCAAACACATCCTTTGCTTAGTAGAGTGGAATAAGCTAGCATAATAGTTTAAAATATTTATTTCTAAAATGCTGGTAGCAAAATTTGTATATGCATTTTGAAAAGAATGTGAAAGACTCTAGCTGCTTAAATGTTTGAATTTAACAAATTTATGGGAAAAACAAATTAAAGTCAATGATCTCTAATGTGACTTTTTAAATCCAGAGACTGCTATGTTTTATATTACTAAGTGACAAAAGAGGTCTATTTCTCTTATTTGAAGAAGCATTTATTCCAAACATGGATTAGCGGAAAAAATATTTACCAGTGTTTAAACACTTGCACAAACACTGTATTGGAAAATTTTAAGCCAAGGAAAAGCTTCCTCACATTTGGAAACTTTTTACAGTGAATATTATTACTAACGCTTCATGTTCTAGGACAAATTCATTTCTGTTGTAACATTTTTAACAACTAACATGTAAATGATATTGATATCAAATGACTTATAAAAACATTTTGAAAGTTACACAGTTTCTGACATACCACTCTGGTTGATTTGTTTTAGTAGTTTGTGAAACAATACCAAAACCAAAAATGCTCTATCTCTCCTTTTTAACCTACCTCCTTCTTCCAACCAAACTCTAGCTTGAAAATTTCATAGAATACCGATATGTCTCCCTAGCTACTCAGGAAAATGAGGCAGGAAAAAAATCCCTCACTACAAGAGTTCAAGACCACCGTGGGTACTGAGGCCATCTCAAAAAGAAATTGAAGTGCTTTAAACATAGAGCATTGGGCCAGGGATTTAGCTCAGTGGTTTTGTCGCCTGCTGCATAAGTACAAGGACCCGAGTTCGATCCCCGGTACCAAAAAAAACAAAAAAAAACCCAAAAAATACAGCATTAAATGCTACAACTGAAAATAATTAAACCAATTCCTTTATAAAGTGAATCTGCAATTATGTAGGTGTGGCCTAATCCCATTTTAAAAAATAAAATACTGTATACTATGTAAGTTTTAATTTACATATTCCTTATATATGAACTTCACATTTTCTTTTTTTTTGTACCGGAGATAGAACTCGGGACCTTGCACTTGCAAGGCAAGCAGTGGAACCACTGAGCTAAATCCCCAGCCCTCACATTTTCTTAAAATCATAATTAATGTCTTATGACACAAAGAACAATTTGGGGGAACATTTATCTATATATGTCAAGACTCAGACTTTTACATGACTTTCAAGTCACTTTAATATTTAAAATATCTAAATTAGCACTTACCAAATTTATGCTTCCTGTAGGAGATCCATTAAAAGATTCTGTGAAGAGAAAATTCAACTCAGTATACAGTAAAAATCTTTCAAAGCAGTTGCTTTATCTAAGGTTCAAACATCAACAATACATGTCACATTAAGTCAAAACATCAAAAAACAGTAAAGAAAAATGATGGTTTACTCCCAAATACCTAATCTCTTAAATCTCAAATTTCCAAGTCAAACAGGCATTTCAGTGATAAAATATATATGTACCTGCCAGCTGGAGAAAGAAAAAAATTCATTCACAGGAGAACAATCATTAAATATTCTGATTCTTATTTTCATAGGATTATATCAAGTTGTCCAACACAATCTAACCATGAGGGAAACAATGCAGAATGAAGCCCATTAGAAAATAACAGAACTGGGGCCAGGGATTTAGCTCAGTGGTTTCGCCGCCTGCCTAGCAAGCTCAAGGACCTGAGTTCGATCCCCGGTACCCAAAAAAAA